ATAGATCTGTCTCGTCTCTATCATCCTTTTTTAAGGTACAAATTTAGGGTTTTGCCCTTTTAATACCACGCATGTGAGTAACGATAAACTGATAAAGAAAAAAAAAGGGGTACCTTTTCGCTTTTAATTGCCACATTCTTACTGCCACATTCATTCATTCATATAATTAACGCCTTTTCAACAGCCGCATTTTTTGAAACTGGAAATGTTGATGGGACAAATGAAGTATTCAAATGAACTCCAACATTTGCTGCTCAGATAATTCCGAAGCTAATTTTGAGTATATGTTTACAATAATATATGTCATATGTTTCTTTCTTAGCAAACTAATGAATGTTCTGATAAATGTTTAGTTAAATAGAGATATCGAGTTATAATTATATGACTTTAATTTATATCATTACACAGAGCCCCCTGTAACAATAATTAGTCTTTTATATAAAATATTGAAAGAGAAATGCAGATTACAGCTTAATTGTAATGTTTTATTTAAAAAAATTCATGGAATGAGGATTGCATATGAATTTAAGTTCATGTCAAATGCACATATAGCACTTTTTAAATTAAAATATGAATAAAGTTTTTTTAAAAGATAAAAAATAAAAAAACAATAAAGAGAGATCAATGAAATGGAGAGTGATTGAGTGTTCAAGCTCATGACACCGAGTGAACATAGCAATCCTTACAAAAAATTTGGATTATAAGACTAATTATAGTTAATCTGAAAAAGAAACAAAATGGAGGGCTCCCCCTTAACCTGAAAAAGCATAAAGTAGAGGCAGAATGGCACAAACAAGAAAGATACACAATTATACTGGTCAAATTAAGTAGTGACCTGCATTATACACGTGGAGTTGAACGGAAATGCCGACAGTCAGTTTTCAAACTTTTTCCAATACATTTTTTTTTTCCCAATACATTTTTTCACAGTAAAAAAAGCTATGAAGGGAGAGACAAAGATGGTGACTGGTGGTCGGTTTTCTCGCGGTGGCCGGTGCGCTCTCTCGATCGGTGTACACCTACAGCCCATGGTTGAGAACGACGTTGGCTGTACCATAAATTTAGAGAAACACTTGTGTTATTATATATATATATATATATATATGAAACTTTTTAATTAAGCCAAGGTGATGAATCATGAATATTGTAATAGTAGTTGGAAAATGCAAATTTAATTGTTCAAAATTCATGCATTGGTGTCACCAAAGAATAAATGAGTTGGCATAATTAATTTTTGGTCCCATTTATTCTGTCCTCTGAAGGTACATAATTGTGGAAGCCAATAAGTTATAGCCAAATTTTATTTTATTTTATTTTTTTTACAAAGTCAATAATTAATAAGTTAATTTTATTAGTTGTTAACAATTAGAGATTCAATTCTCAAATTTGGTAAATATCTTATGACCTCTTTCAATGAGACGCACGACCTATCGAGTCGTTTGATGGAGTTCAAATTTGATGTTGTTGTCAAATGTCTAGTGCCATATTCACTCCCTTCAAATTTTAAAACGCAAAAAATATTTTATCTCATTCAAATTGTACTGGGCCCATTTACTCACCTTTATTTAGTATTCATTTGGTGTAACTAAAGTTTTTAATAAAAATTTTGTTAAAAATAAAGATAAAATAAAAATAATATATTAATTTTATTAAAATTTAAATGAAAAGCTCATGCAAAAACACAAATTCAGTGCTTTC